GAACCAGGGTTCTCTCGGCCACAACGAGAAGTAATAACCACTATACTAGAGCGGCAGCCATGCACGGAGTGGGATTTGAACCCACGCCTCTTGCGAGATGCGAACTTGAGTCGCACGTCTTAGACCGCTCGACCATCCGTGCACTTTTTTTTGTTCCCCCTGAAGGGGACTCGAGCCTGCCAGGGGTCGAACCTGGAATCTCTTGATTCGTAGTCAAGCGCGGTAACCATTTTGCCACAGGCCCATTGTATGTTCCTTATTGTGACAGAGCCGCATTGATACTAAAAGCCTTGGACTCCCAGAGTCATTTCCAAAATTTCGTTGACGTGGATGGTGTCGATATGAGGCACTGCTGATCTCGAAGGTTCGTTGATGACGAAGCTTTTTTCGTGGTGATCACTGATCAGCTGGTTTCCCGAGGGGAGGCATTATAAAAGGGGGAGAGCAGGAAGGATGGGATTCCATCAAGTCAAGGCAGTCATTGAGTTCAACACTCTAGTCCAGGTCCATCGCAAAGCAAACTATCGACCAGCAATAACAAGCACACACACACACACACACACACACAAACCACACAAACCACAAACATGACCAAACCCCACACAGCAACACCCATCGACCACCAAGAACGCCACCACCAAAAGAACGGCGGAGACGTCCGTGGACCTCTCAAGAAGGGTGGAGCCGGAAAGCATAACTGGGGAACGGCCGAAGATGATGAAGAGATGGTGTTGGAGGAGAGGTTCGAGGACGGACAGGTGCATGCTATGCATGATGCTCAGCAGGCTACGCATGTTAATGTGGTCGGGAGCGAGGAGTTTGAGAGGTTGAAGAAGAAAGCCTAAATGATTTTTCAGTTTGATAATGATGGGGATTCTATTGGAGAGTTGGTTCATTGTACACATTAGCTTCCGTTTGGTTTTTTCTTCTTCGGTGTATATAAAAAATTGGGTATAAAAATTCAATTCTGTTTTCTACATAGTAACACTTCCGCAACAAAATGAACATCGCAAACAAACGAGTGTATAAAAGGAAAGGAAGTGGATAGGATATCCCTATTAGTCTTGGCCTCAGCAGCAACAGCAGCTCTTTCCCAATCTGAACTTCAGCCTTGACCTCCTCAACAACCTTGGTCTCCGTACCAATCGTCTCAGTCGTGGTCTCAGCGACAACCTCCTCAAGCTTGACCTCACACTGTGATGGCAGAAAAAAGGGGAAAAAGGTCGGTAGAGTCGTTTACAGGGAGATGTTTCTTCTCTTTTAATAAAAAACGCTAACGCTAAGAGAGACAGTACTCGAAAACACCGGTGCACCCTCCAATCACAACAACCATCGGAGCGCTCAGTCCCAGAAACTGAACTGCAACAAAGCTCATCCCTGATATCGACACATAGAATGGATACGCTAGCAAGGACCTCCCCTTGTCTCCTACGATCGCCTTGTCCATGAGGATGTACATAGCGGCGAAGATCAGTCCTACTGCAACGTAGCTGAAGCCCTTCAGGATGGTTTTGATCCTATCAAAGCTGCGGTAATGGCTCCATATCGGTAGGAGTCCAGCGTCAATCAAAAGACCAGATGCGTTGATCGTTATCCACGCCAGAAAGGCTCCGACAAGGGAGGACGCAAATGTTCCTCGAAGTGCCAATGCACCACAATATGCCGCGAAATTGTAATTTGGACCTATCATACGATATCAGAACATTCAAGTCGAATGAGCCATGTACCTGGCATCGAATTGATAAAGGCCAGACCAAACAGGAATTCGGCATCAGAAAGCCAACCATTCGTCACAACATACGAGTAAAGCAACGGAACAAGCACCGAACCGCCCCCGAAAATGATCATCCCCACAAAGTAGAAAGTGGAAGCTATCTCAACAGCTCTCGGGAGGTCTGGGATGGAATTGATCGAGATGGCCAAAACCAACAGAACAACTGAGGTCAGCAGAAATAGAAGTCCCGTCTTGAAAGAATATGAAACGTAAACACTGTCTGATGGCGCTGGTGCCTCTGATTTCACGGGACCATCGTCAACGTCGTCAATGTCCAGTGATACAGCATCGGATTCGGCCATTGTTTGAGACGCGGACGTCTCATCTGGTTCTTCTGTAAGAACTTCCGCTTGTTGACGCTCAACAGTTGTCTCCTTCATCTTCACCCACGCCTCCTGCACAGTCATTACAACACCTCCAACAGCCATCAGAAACGGTATCAGCCAAGAAACCTTTGGAAAGTTGATCAACAGTGACGCCGTCAGAACCGCCACCACCCTCCCAGTGTTTTCTTTCAAGATCTTGGAACCCATGTTGTATGCAGCTATGGCCACCAACGCGACGGCGACACTGGAGACACTATTCAGAACATGGTCGAACCATTCAGGTCGCTCGCCTTCCATGGCTCCCATGCCCCAGCCTGCCAGAAACATGACCACAAATCCCGGAAAGCTAACGGAGGAAGTTAAATAGACTTTAAAGGAAGAGAAAGATATTTTACCTCCATGCGACCCAAGCTAGAAGTCCAAAGAACAATCCACCCATAACAACTGCCAACGAGAATGCGAGTTGAGAGCTAGACGGTCCTGGCAGAGCGTTACATATCGCAAACAGGTCCGTAAAGATGGCCGGAGTCACATAACCGTTTCGGGTGATGTAGAAATCGTACAGGAGGGGGACGGATGTCTGTTTGTTTTCGCATTAGCTTGTGCAGAATGGCTGGATAGGAAAAAAGGAAGCAGGACTTGCCTGGACGCCGATGGTGAACCATGTAATGACGGAGTAGTTGACAACGATGGATGTGAGGACATTGTGGGATGGCTGCGGGTCTATCGGAGTTGGTTGGTCGGCATCCGGTCGTAGCCGTTGCCGTCCGAGGAGTGGAGAGGATTCACCCGGCATATGGATTCAGAAAGGAGAGTAACGGCTTCGGATTCCTTCTGAAGGTTGTTTGCCTTCTTTTTATTGTTCAACGAACCTCGTTAATCCAAATTGTCGAATCATGCGAAATCAATCATAAAAGTCAAGAGAGAGAGGAGACAACAATAATGATCCAAAGCCATCTATTGAAATGACAAAGATAATTACAAATGCCGAAAAGTTATGCTATCCATTTTAACGATATTAATTATAGGAAAACATACTCGAAAACACCCGTGCACCCTCCAATCACAACAACCATCGGAGCGCTTACTCCGAGAAACTGAACTGCTACAAACGTCACCCCCGATATCGACACGTAGAATGGATATGCCAGCAGAGACTTTCCCCGGTCTCCCACAATCGCCTTGTCCATCAGAATGTACATGGCGGCAAACACCAGTCCAACAGCCACGCAGCTGAATCCCTTCAAAATGGTTTTGATCCCATCGAAGCTGCGGTAGTGGCTCCATATCGGTAAGACTCCGGCGTTGATTAGCAAACCAGAGGCGTTGATTGCCAGCCATGCCACTACGGCACCGAAAAGTGAGGATGTAAGGGATCCTCGAAGTGCCAAGGCACCACAGTATGCAGCGAAATTGTAGTTTGGACCTACAATTCAAGGTTACCAGCAGCTCAAATCAAAGCAAGTTTGTTTACCTGGCATCGAGTTGATAAAAGCCAGTCCAAACAGGAACTCTGCATCTGAAAGCCACCCGCTCGTCACAACGTAGGAATAAAGCAACGGAACAAGTACCGTGCCACCTCCGAAAACGATCATGCCGACAAAGTAGAACGTGGAAGCAACTGAAACAGCTCTGGGAAGGTTTGGGATGGCGTTGAGCAAAATAGCGAGAAGGAGCAGTACAACTGAAGTCAGGAGAAACATGACTCCGGTGTTGAATGAATATGCGACTTGAACGTTTTCGGAGGCTGTGGTTGAATCGGGTTTGGTGGGGTTGTCGTCCGGATTCTCGATCTCGAGAGACACAGTGTCAGATTCCTCCATAGTTTGAGAGCCTGACGATCCAACATCAAGTTCTTCAGTGGAAGGAGTTGGAGCCTCCACTCCTTGATTTTCACTCGCTTTCTCCTTCATCTTTATCCACGCCTCTTGCACTGTCGTCACAACTCCTCCAGCTATCATCAAAAACGGTATCAGCCAAGACACCTTTTGGAAATTGATCAACAGCGATGCCGTCAATACCGCCAGCACCCTCCCGGTGTTATCTTTCAAGATCTTGGAGCCGGTATTGTAGGCAGCTACTGCAACCAATGCGACAGCGACGCTCGAAACGCCATTTAGAACATGGCTGAACCACTCAGGTCGCTCGCCTTCCAAACTTCCCATTCCCCAACCTACAAGAAACATAACCACAAACCCTGGAACGCTAAGAGAAGCAACGTTAGACCTCGGTATTTAATAAGAAAGTGGAGCTTTTACCTCCATGCAGCCCAACCGAGAAGCCCAAAGAATAATCCACCCATGACGACTGCCAGAGAGAATGCGAACTGGGAACTAGAAGGTCCAGGCAGAGCATTGCATATCGCAAACAGGTCCGTAAAGACGGTTGGGGTCACATAACTGTTGCGGGTGATGTAGAAATCGTACATGAGGGGGACGTATGTCTGTTTTGCTCTGGTTAGCCAGCCTTGTGTGCAGTGACTGGAATGAGGAAGATGGAGGATTTATTTACTTGCCTGGACGCCAATGGCGAACCATATTATGAAGGAGTAGTGGAGGAGGATGGATGTGAGGACTTTTCGGGATGGCTTGGGGTTGATCGAAGGTTCAGGTCGGTCCTGTTGATGCCCGAGGAGCGGAGAGGACTCACCGGGCATCCTGATTCACAAGGATAGGAATGTAGGAAGGAGAGCAAAGGGCTATCGTCGTGATGAATTGAATCAACCCTCCGCCCTAAAGAAAGGGCAATCCGAATTGTTGGAATCATTCGAAATTGAGTCCATCCACAACTTAAAGAACAAAAAAAAATATAAGAATTCAGTCTATTCAAATAACACGGGGACATCAACCAACAACAAAGAGCATAAACCCAATGCAACCTCCAGACAAGACCACAACAGGCGCCAGCACCATCAAAACTTCAACACAATCTTAACAACGTGGGTAAACCAACGACCAATTACCCCCTTTGAAAACGCTTTTTCCACAAAGATGTACATAGCTGCAAACACAAGCCCAACGGCGACGAATCCACCGACGATGC